ATGAGCGATAGTGAATAAGTTTCCTTCTTTGGGGTCACCTAATCTTGGTGGGACACACACACACAGCTTATTACAATAATCAAATTAAGTGCTAAATCTGTAGGGGTCATCCAGCTCTGTTGGGACACATATAGAAAAACTACTTTTACCTTCAACCAATCAAGTCCCTCAGGTTCTATGAGGTATTCCATACAGAAGACTAATCCACCATTTGGACCAAAGTTCAAGTCGTCAGCTTGCATAACATCATCCACTTGAATAAGGTCTCGAACATCAGCAAGTGGTTCAGCTGCCGGATCCAGGTTCACTATGCTGCAAAGTTTAAAAGGTGTGTATGCACTGCAAAATTAAAATACGTATGCACTGTAAAGTAAAAACAAAATATGTAATGTATACACTACAAAATACATCACAATAAATTGCATCACAGCAAATATGAAAAAATACGTCTAAAAATACTATACCCGATATTATATAAATGGTGCAAAGGTGACATTAACACAATATCAAAGATGGTTGACACAAACCCACTACCATTATAGTGTGCTCCTCAGTTAGCGACAAATTCATTTACCAATGCAATCTTAGGAACGGAACTCCGTCATTAAGTGAGAAGAGGCTGTATAAGTACGTAACAACCTATGCTAATTAACCGTGTTAAAAAATGTGTATTAATGCTTGAAAATAAGCTTGTGTTTTATTTAATTTACAGATATACATGTACTGTAAGTTTAAGTGAACACTGACTGCATAGTGCGGTTGATGGTCTCGGCATGTTTCTGTAGCACAGCACAATAGGTGGACTTGCCAGAGCCTGCGGGACCCAGCAATAGCTGACAGAACCTCATTTTCTATGTCTCAATATATCTGAAAAAAGGAGAAACAATTCAGTGAGCTATATCTTACGGGCACCCAAGTTTTACAGGCACCAAGGTCTTACAGGCAACCAGGTCTTTTAGGCACTTTGGTCTTACTAGCACCTGGATCTTGCAGGCACCCAGTCTTCTGAGCACCCAGGAGTAATGGGTACCTAAGTCTTTCGGGCACCCAGGTAAAGACCAAAACAGAAATAAATCACAATGTTAGACTTTACTGGGATATCCTAGGGTATCTTAAGTTATCCTAGAGTTAATTTACACAAAAGTTACTTTATATGGACATAATAAAATTCTAAATTTGTGTAATAAACCTGAGTATTATTATTATTATTATTATTATTATTATTATTATTATTATTATTATTATTGGGAAGCACAAAAACCACACTGGTCATACAAAACATGGAGAATGAAAGGCAATTCTCTTGTATTCACTGTAACTCCTAAATTTATAGTTAGATACAGCTAAGAGATTGTATGTACATGTATAAAATTATAGAAATTGTCATTCAATTTGTAATCTTAAGTTAGTCTTAAGTTTGCCCAAAATGCTCTGCATATTAAGAGGATTCCTGCATGCACACCTAAATGTCATTTACCTTTGTACAAACATTGTATCATGCTGAAATAAAGTATTATTATTAATTATTATTATGTATTAAGTTTGATCATGAACATGGTACAATATAGATATTTTTATTCAGCTCCCACTTCAGCTTTATTTTTATGAGCATATTTGTCTGAAATTACTGTGGCTGTGCAGGAACTACACTCATCTACTGTGAAAATTGTTATCAACCTTTCAGTGAAAACAAATAATAATAATAATACGTAATAATCATGACATAACCCAGAGGCAATGGATTGTTGGTCACTAGTCACAGCCTCATTATCAACAGCCACCACCAGTGCACACCCAGATGGTAGCCACCCACTGCTTCCAGGATGCAGCAGTGAAGGAATGTATTATATGGTGAAAACCCGGTTATCAGTCGTTCCGGCTTTTGGCCAACTCAGTTATAGGCCAGTTTTCCAGCTTCCGGTTATCGGCCGTTATTTCACTTATTGGCCGTATGGGAAGCATCAACCTGCCAGCCCAGCCGCTTGCCCGTCAGTTTGGCTGTGTCTCTGGGCGAGAGAGGAAACTTCTGCTCATTCCCTATACAGCCATTGTTTTTGGTGGTTTTTGATTAAGTGCAACACGATGGAACTTAAGAAAGAAGTTATTGAAAAATATGAGTGGTGTGCGGGTGCTGGAACTTGCCAGGATGTATGGGAAAAACAAATCAACAATCACTTCCATCCTGCCATTGCTTCAACACACCAGTCACTGCTTCACCATACCAGCCACTGCCTCGCCTCACCAGCCACTGCCTTGCCTCACCAGCCACTGCCTCGCCTCACTAGCCACTCCCTCGCCACACAAGCCACTGCCTCACCTCACCAGCCACTGTCTCACCTCACCAGCCACTGTCTCACCTAACCAGCCACTGTCTCACCTCACCAGCCATTGCCTTGCCTCACCAGCCACTGCCTTGCCTCACAAGCCACTGCCTCACCACAAAAGCCAGTGCCTCACCTAACCAGCCACTGCCTCACTGCACCAGTCACTGCCTCACCTCACCAGTAAATGCCTCAACTTACCAGCTACTGCCTTGCCTCACCACACCAGCCACTGCCTCACCACACCAGTCACTACCTCACATCCAGGTACACCACATCAGTCACTGCCTCACCACACCAGCCACTGCCTCAAGTCACCAATCACTACATCACCTCAAGCTGAAACAAGCCATATCTGCAACATGTTCAGTGACAAAACTTTGTCCCACTTCAGGGAAATCTTAAAGAGAAGCCAGAAACAGACCTCTCTGGACAGTTATTTTGTGTGACAGGTGTGCAGTGACTCTCAAGCTGGTCCTAGTGGCATTAAGAGACAAAGAAGAGAAGTAACCCCAGAGAGGGACTTGTTACCTAAAGTCATTATGGAGGGGAATTCCCCTTCAAACAATAAATTCTCTCTCTCTCCTCCTCCCTATCTTCCAGAAGCCAACAAGAGTCTTCAATAAAGGTATGTAATACTGATTTAATTGTTAAAAAAATTATTTTTTGTTAATATTTTTGGGAGTATGGAATGGATTAATTGTATTTACATTAATTGTTATGGGAAATATTATTTCGCTTCTAGGCCGAGCTTCTGGAATGGATTACAGCCAATAACTGGGGGTCCACTGTACTGCCTATGTCTCTCTCTTTCCATGCTTATGACATTTTGACCCAAAAAAAAATACATAATGACCCTGCTTATACAGCAGGTTAGGTTCCGGGCTAATGCTGTCGAGCCAAAATTGCTGTGAAGTGAATCATGGATTTTTTCCACTTTTGGATGAATATAAAAGCCTGATAACGTGTTTACACTATCATGTATTAAGTGAGCAGTAAAGCTAAGCCTAAAAGATGCAAATACAGCCTCTCCTCGCTTAACGACGGAGTTCCATTCCTAAGACCACGTCAGTAAACGAATTCGTTGCTAAGTGAGGAGCATACTACATATAATGGTAGTATGTATCAACTGTCTTTGATATTATTTTAATGTCGCTTTTGCACCATTTATAACACTTCTGATATACAGGTCCGCCATCACAAATCCGGCAATCAGTTATTTGGTTCCTTCAGTTACTCGGCACTAATTTTGGCTAGCATAATTTCAAATTTCCAGGGTTGCCACACCAACCTGCTGGTACTGTTTGGTGGCGCTACTTGCTGCATAAGTCATTCCAATTTCTTTTTCTCCATTTATTGTTATAACCTGCTTACTTTTAGCCCTAGCCATAGTTCCAATGAATAAAAGAAATGCTTCTCATTATGTAAAGCACCCACACAGTACCTACACAGTACCTACACAGTGGCTTTGAAGCCACTGTCAGTTGTCATGAACTCAGTCTCATGAAGCAGGAGAATATGCTTTATTGTTATGCTAATACGAAAAGTACCTTGAAATTGCGCTCACAGTAGCGAAAATGTTCTATTCTTTAGCGAAGCTCAAGAGTAAACAAATGACGTCACCGTCCAATACCTGTCCACCTGCCAGTCCAAATTCCAGTACGGAGTCAAGAATGGATTGATATTATTTATACAATTATTACAATAATGCAGTAGTCTGCATAACAGTAAATCTTTTATTTTTTTTTTTTTGTGAATAAAAATTCCAAATGGTAAGCTAGAGTAATATAAAAGGGGCCTGTAGCCATGACTAATGAACAGAGAAAATGTTATTTTAGTGCCAGGAATGTCTGCATTGTTTATTCTGGATCCTATTTTGAAATTGGCATCTGTTGAAATTTGTGTGAAATTGGCCAAATTGCAAATTTCTGACCACTTTATTGGGCAGTTGAAATAAGTGAATGGGCAGTTTCTTGTACTCAGTTGACAGACTAGAAGTAAATAAGTATTCAGGTATACACAAATACAGTTACATAGATTATCATACATAGCAGTGTATGTATAGAGAACCTGGGATAACCCAGAAAAGTCAGACAAAGTGACTTATTTCCAGTACCTGGCTTGGGCTTGCCATATATGATTTTTGGTAAATATTTTTTTTCTCGGTTGTTTGTTGGGTTATCTCTTGCTCTCATGACGAAAGGTACCTTGAAATTGAGCTCAAAGTAGCGGAAATGTTCGATTTTTGCCGATGTTCAATGAACTGTGCAAGTCAAGTTGGTTAATTTTATTAAGTGTATTCTAACTTAACCACTCTGTAATTTGGCAAACTCAGTAATCCGGCACACTACAGGTCCCAATGATGCCGGATTTGTGATGGAGGACCTGTACTATTTTTAAATATTTATATAGTAGTGTACTAAACAGAATAGAAGAAATGAGCTTTTATATACATTATTTTGGGATCATCGTCAGAGAGCCCTCATAATCCGAGTCATCGGTAAACAGGTACTCGTAAGTGGGAAGAGCCCTCATAAGTCCGAGCATCGGGGAACAGGTACTCGGTAAGGGGAGAGAGCCCGTCATAAGTGAGTCATCGGTAAACACGTACTCGGGAAGTGAGGAGAGGGTTACGTACACCATTTCTTACCATAAAAAATTTCACCTTAGGTTTTTGTAAAGGCCTGAAAAAAAAGAATGGTTAAATTAAAAACGTGTATTAGCAAACACTGTAAAGCGGGGCCCCGCCCTACATAATCCATAACCCCAAAATTTAAATTTAAAAAAAAACTAAAAAAATCCATATTTGAAATATCACAAATTTATTTATTTTTTTTTATTTATTTTATGTCCTTGCAATTGGGTTTTTTATTTTTAAAAAGTGGGTTTCAATGCAGAGAGAAAACCTCTATTATGCCTAGGCATTATGCACCAACCCCAACATTATGGGTTACAGGCACTTAACAAAAGACTTTACATAGTTTAAGTAAAATAATTATTTTTATAGTTTTAACTAATTAAATTTAACTGAATAAAATTTGTGTAGAAAAAGGAACATTTTTTAGTCTAAAAATCTTTTGTGGAAAACAATGTTCAATTATATTCCTTTTAACAATGGATAAAAGTTTCAAAGTGATTTTTAAGTTTTAGGGGAGTACAAGTGATAAGTGGTACTAGTATTTTAGCATTTAGTCAAGGTGATTAAGTGGGTTTTAGAGGAGTCTTTAAAAGTATTATTTTATTCAGGTGAGGGAGCTCTAAACCTACAATGTTTCGAGTGCCTAGAAAAAGGAACTACATTTGATTGGATTTTTAAAAACCCGGGGGTTAGCCACCCCGATAACCCAAAAATAAGTTTCCGAGTAATTTACAACTGTCGTGTCGTGCTTATTTCAAAACCCCAGCCCCATCTAACTATACTAAACCCCCCCCCCCAGGGTCCACCCACCACCAGTACCTGCTTACTGCTAGGGAACACGGACAGCAGGGGTTTAAAGGTGACTAAAAACCCAGTACCTACTTTCGCTAGTGAAATGGGCAGC